GGTTTTCCCCCCCCCTAAAAAGGCTGCCGACGGGGAGCGGCTGCCTGTTGGTGCAGAGGGAGGTGGCTCGTGGGGCGGCTTGTGGGGCGGCTGGCCGGCTGGCCGAGCGACCGGCGGCCTTGCAGCTGGGGGTGTTGTGCTCCGGAGAAAAGTTCCTCCTGAAGGGAAGGACGGGAACTGCTCAGGGCCGTTTCCCGGAGCGCGGGCTCTCCGGGCGGTGGGCGGCGGGGAGGTCTCTGCCTGCGCCGCCCTTGAGCTCTTCGGGGTGCGCTGCGGCCCGGCCCGGCCGGAAGAGCTAGGGGCTTTAATGGCAATTGCTTGCCTGCCCTGAAAAGTTAACCTAGCGCTTCAGCTTCTCGAAAGCAGTGATAGTAACAGTCCCTAGGGTCTAGGAATCAGCTAAAGGTATATAAGTGTTTCTTTCGTGATGTCCTCTCCCTTTGATATAGTATACAGCTTTGTGTTATGCAGCATGTAATAAAGCTATTAGAGAAAATACTCTTTAACCTCTGTCTCTAGGTGCGATGTCCAAGGCACTAGCGAACGAGAGCCGCGCAGCTGGCCCGCGAGAGGATGGCGAGGGCGGCCCCAGGAGGAGGAGGTGGGGGCTGTTGGTCACTGCTGGTGTCGGTGGGACCTTGGTGGCACTCTATGCTGCGGCCACCCCCTTCGTCACCCCGGCTCTGAGGAAGGTGTGCCTTCCCTTCGTTCCTGCAACTGCCACCCAGATCCAGAATGTGCTGAAAATGTTAGAAAACAGAAGCGGCTCCCTAGTTGACATTGGTAGCGGGGATGGCCGTATTGTAAGTCATGGACATCGCCTCTCAAAAACGGGCCAAATGCTCTAGCGCTGTTGTTTTCTTATATTTATGAACGTGTTGTCTTTGGCATCCGGTGTTTTTGTTTGAGTCTTACGAAAAGGCTCAAAGCTGAGAAAGGTTTACATTCAGTTTAGGTGAATAATCAATATTTTTTGCTTCAGTCTTACCTGCAGCTTGACAAGGTAGTGTACAAAATGATAACCTCACCCTGTTGGCTGGAGGGAATTGCACTGCATTCACATGAGAAGATGTGATCGAAGTATTGGTATAGTGATTACCAAAGAGCTGTGATTCCACATAGGTTTAGCACTGCAGCACATGAGGCTGTGAGATTAAACAGCACTATGCCTTTGGAGCTGCAGCTCTATGCTTATTGTGTAAAGGTGATAGAAGAACAAAAGCAAATGAGGAATGAGTGACGGATTACAAAAATAAGACTCCTGGTATTGTTAGAACTGTAGTCTTTACAACTTTGTGCAGTGCTGGCTGCCCCGCTTCAAAATCGATGAAGTGAAACTGGAATAATTACCAAGAGAAATGGTGAGAATCACCAAAGCCAAAGTGATACTGTGTTTCCAGGACACTGTGTGAACCCCAATTTGTGAAATATGGTGGTGAGGGTACAGTGGAGAACGGTGTGGGGTTTTTTGTAGTTGTGATGTTTTGTGTACCATTTCATAACTGTCTGCTTCATGTCAGTTTTAGCAAGAGAATGGCACACTGAGTTGGTCTTTGATGGTAACAAGTCAGTTCTTGAATGCTACCTTTGTCCATATTTCATGGGAATGAGTCAACCATTTGTCCACGCTAAAAAATTTGGTTTGGAAATCCAAATCTGCGAAGGTACCTTAGAAGGAATTGTGCCAGAGTAGGAAACAGAAAAACACATAGGTACAAGAGAACTGCAGTTTCTGATGCCCTCTCTGGTCAGCATTCTGGCTGTTGACCCTCATCTGAGGCATCTAATTTGATTAGGTACTGCGTGTTTGATTCTGATTGTATATATATATGTAGGTGCCTAAATGGAGGCTGAAGACTGCTTGGAGAGCCAGGTGCCTAAAATTGTATGCGTAGTGTTGCCTTAATGTATCTGTCCTGAAAAAAGTTGAGCTTGTGTTCAGATGCTTATAAATATTTAGCACTTTACACTCAGGTGTAATCAGTGGATAAATGTGACCATATTTTTATTTCCAAGCATGGTAAACATGTCAGATTCTTTTAGTATATTTGCAAATGCTGTGTGCATGATGGAAGATGCATTATTTTAGTAGTGTGAAACACACTGTCCAGGTAATGCTGTTTGAGAAATTCTGTTAAGAAATGTGTACTTCTTCCTGATTTCACCTTGCCTGTTCTGTAATTCATAGCTCATTAGGCTTTTCCTGATTAAAACTTGGCAGTAACCTTTTAAATTATGGCTTAAACCTTAATTCTAGAAACTGGTGTCTTAATTTTCCTTAATTTTTTTTTTCTTTTTCTAAAAAATCAGTAGGCTGTGATCTTGTTTGAAGACACTTGCAATACAGTTTAACAATTCTAAATCTTAGGGTCTAATTTAGAGGAATGTCTTTGAAAAATCTTATTATTTGAATTACCGTTTGCCTTTTAAAATGATATATGAAGCTTAGCATTGGATGAAAGCTATACTGTGAGACTTGTGTGGGGTTTTTTCAACTTTTTAAGCTACATTTAAATTTTTGACCTACATTTTTTTTTAAATATAGGTCAACAGATTGCTTTCATGCTCTTTCTGTCGGTAGGTCATTGTGACTCTGATTCCGGGGTCTCTCAAATGCCTACCCATCGCTGCTTTTCAAATAAGCGCTCTAATTTTGAGCATTTCTGCTTGTGTATTTCACTGTTCTCTCCGTGGTCAATTTTGGTACTGTTTAATTCCAAGGTAGCGTCATGACTATGTTAAATTAAACTTTAATGTAAGTCATAGAGGTACTACAAGCTTACAGCTTTGCCCTGTTGTGATTTAACCCCAGCTCACTGCTCCCCCTCCCCCCAGTGGGACAGGGGAGAGAATTGGAAAAAAAAAAAAAGTAAAACCTGTGGGTTGAGATAAAGACAGTTTAATGATTGAAATAAAAAAATAATAATAAATTGTAATGAAAAGGAAAACAACAACAAGAGAGAGAGAAACAAAACCCAGGAAAAACAAGTGATGCAAATGCTCATCACCTGCCAACTGATGCCCAGCCTGTCCCCTGAGCAGCGATTGCTGGCCCTGGCCAGCTCCCCCCAGTTTATATACTGAGCGTGACGCCATACGGTATGGCATAGCCCTTTGGCCAGCCTGGGTCAGGTGTCCTGGCTGTGCTCCCTCCCAGCTTCTTGTGCACCTGGCAGAGCAGGGGAAGCTGAAAAGTCCTTGATGGGTGTAAGCACTGCTTAGCAACAACTAAAACATCAGTGTGTTATTCTCATCCTAAATCCAAAACACAGCACTATGCCAGCTACTAGGAAGAAAATTAACTCTATCCCAGATGAAACCAGGACACCCTGTGAATGTTTGTGTTTCACTTTGTCTGAATATATCTGTTAATTTCAATGGGACTAGTCATAACAGGAAAATGTAGTTTGAGCTTTTGTTCACTATGTGACTAATCTGTTGGGGATTAAAACCTGAGTGACTTACAAAAGTGCATTCCTTTGATTTATATTGTAAATAAAACTATGTGCTCCTGTTTAGATGAATATACTTTCTCTGTTTCTAAGTGAAGGTTTATTTTCTTCCTTGTAGGTGATAGCAGCTGCAAAAAGGGGATTCAAAGCTGTTGGTTATGAATTAAATCCCTGGCTAGTCTGGTACTCCAGGTACCGTGCCTGGAGAGATGGGGTACATCAGAACACCAAATTTTATATTTCGGACTTATGGAAGGTACGTGGTAAAGTACGTAAGAATGAATCTGGGATGTTTGAGAGATTTCCATGATTTGGAAATACTTTCTTGAAAGAACTGGAATGCTGACTGGCCACAAAGAGCTGTGTTGGGCTTTGAGAAAAGTACTTGAGCCTATAGAAACTAGACTCAGCACAATACACTGCTCTGCTGGTTTTGTGCTTTTGTGAAGTGCTGTCCTTTTTCATACAGGCTCCTTGAGCGTACTATGCCATGCTTGTGCCTGACGAATGATGTGGGGTGCTGTAATGTCAGGCTTCACTGAGAGCTGATTCTGTGGAGTCAGTAACAAGACTCTAATTCACCTAATGTGCGTGATCACAATCTCATCTGACGTTTCATTAGACGTGTTCTTTTCTAGCTATGCAATGTGTTACCTGGTTTTGAGTGTTGCTTTAAGGTAACTTAAATACATGTGACTGAGATTTTTTCGTAATTTTCAATCATTTGAATCACAATTGCTTCTTTAACGAGGAGTGCTTTTTTGGGTCCTATTTATGTGGGCCTCTCCCCTAGTATTCCTGTCACAGTTGTGGGGTTTTCTTGTTTGTTTGGGTTTTTTTTTGTGTGTGGTTTTTGTTGTTGGTTTTTTTTTTTTAAGAATGGCACTTTATAATGGGTAAAGCGGATACCAGGAATTTTGGGGAAAAGTGTGAATGTATTGTTTTTATCTTTTTTCAGAGAGGAACATAGGAAAACTTCATGGTGCTGACTGCAAGAACGCAGGCATTGGAATGCCTGGCAAGTTTTTGTAGCTAGCTAACATTAAACAGAAGCGGGGGAAAACTTAAAACATACGTCATTTGACATATACAGGAGTTGTGGAAAAACTTAGCCATGAGTAAAATCATGTAGGGGTTTTCTAAATTAATAATTTCTGTGCTACTAGAATTGGTGCCATATTCTTGGCCAGGCAGTAGATGTTATTTGCTGTTCAGCATATGAAGTTATCTTTATGTGGAAGTTTGTGTGATGAAAAGTTGATACAGGGTCTCCTTTCTTATTTTTGGTCTAAATTCCTGTTGAAAGGAGTGCAGCTAGAGGGATTAGGGGAAGAGAACGGTGATATATAATGCCAAATATAAATGCCGTTTTCATTAAGACTTGTTCTCAAATTTTATTTTAGGTTTCTTTTTCCCGTTATACGAATGTTGTTGTTTTTGGGGTACCTCAAATGGTAAGTTTACTATTTTTGCATTGTTTAATTATTTTAATAGAAAGGCATTCAGTGTTAGTACGTTTATCTGCAAAATGAATCAACCTGCAGAATGTCAAAGGTAGTTAGTACTAATATTTTGATATTTCATTGTTGCTTATTAATGTCCATGATAAAACCTGGTAAAACTTGTAACCGTATGCAGACTGGAGCTCTGAAAATATACATGGCTTTTTGAGAAGTATTTTCTGTCCATTAGTTCAGAACCAAAATGAAAACTGCTGTGCTCATGTTGCTTGAGGGGGAAGGTGATAGATTGGTTCTTGAAAATTTCAGTTTTTCATATTGAAAAAACGAGGAGTTTGCAGAGAGAGGATGGAGTAGGAAATTGTCTACAGATGATTTTTGGGAACCTTGTTAGAGTGTTGAACTTTGCTTATGTTCTTCTCCAAAAACTGGATAGGCCAGCAGCTGGTATATTGAAATAATCCCTTGCCCATGTTAGACTGTGAAGGTTTAGGAAGGGAGACAGATACTTCAAGAGTAATTGCTAGAGTACAAGTCTGCAAATTCTTTGCCTTTTAGGAAGGCTTTGTAGCCTATGCTCATCATGTCCCCAGGGCAAATGCATTCTTCAAAACGGGTGTAGAAATTGAGTTGCATAGTGGCTGCTTTAGCAATATATTTGATAAATTCGGTCAGACTTTACATGCACTTTGGCTTTCGGCTTGATCTAGTTTTCTTTTTCTCTTTTTACTAGAAAAGAGAAAAAAATCTTGAATATTTAAATATCCTTGACATTTTGATTTATTATTAGCATCTTCTATATAAGTTAAATGCATATGGAGGAGTGAAACAGAAATATCCTATAAATGCTTCTGTATTGCTTCTTCCTCTGCTAAGGCAGATGTGGGATGAAATGAGTGAAGAGCTTTATGTGATGCTATACCATACAACATACCCTGATAATATTTCTGTAGTAGTAACAGGAAGATGCAACAAGGAGCATAATAAAGCTTCCCTGTTCTCTGCTTTTTCTTTGACAGCATTGGAATTAAATACCTACTTCAGATTCAAATTCTAACTCATGTTGGAAACTGAAGTGAAAATGCATTCCCCCCCCCCCCCTTCTGTGGGTGGCATCTTAGTGAGAACTATGTTGCTTGTGCTGCAGATGTTGCCAGGTTTGGATGTTATGTGCTCTCTAGCTTGAGTTCCGGGAGGGGGCAGTATAAATATTTGAATTTGCAGTCAGAAATTCCTCAGTTGCACTGAGGGGAAAAGTGCAGGTGAAGAAAGATTTCGGTAAACTAGAAATAAACAAATGCCCTGGGAAAATGTGAGTAAACCTAGCAGAAGTGCTGGCTTAACTTTAAATGTAGTAGTATAAAGTGGGATAAATTAGTAACAGCTATGATAGAAAGAGTAGCTATAGCGCTCAGAATAACTTCAGTAAATTCAGTAAATACTAGGCTAAATTCTTCCAATAAAAATACTGTCATAAATGTAACAGATCCAAACATATGAACTACTGTTTCCTGAGTATTTGTTTGCTTGTGATCCCCTTTAAATTTACTTCGGAAGTTGTGAATGCTTAGCCTCCAGAATGACTAAATTGATCTTCTACAAACTTTAATGCATTTTCTCTTTTTTTACTGAGGGCAATAGATCTCTCTAGCTTTTTTAATAATACTGGTCTGATTTGATGCTGTCACACAGTGCTTTTATTTCATATCCAAGAATAGCTTACAGAACTTGGATTTATTGATCTTCAGGGAAGACTAAGACCTTGCTGTTCTTGCAAGTGTCTGGGGGAAGGTGTGTTTATCTATAAGTCGTTGCAGAGAGACTTTTACTTGTTCAGGGTAGAATGACAGAATTCTTACCAGGTGTTCATGTTCACAGCTTCTGTGTATTTTAACTGATTATATACTGTACAAAAGGTTTACTAAACTGTATATCTATGTAGCCATACCAAAAAACCCTAACCCTGGCTTGATATAAAATACAATATAACACCTAATGTTACTGAGAGATTTAGCAGTTTGACTGTTTGGTTCAAAGATACAATTCTTTTTGGCTGAACTATTAATGAACTTTTTTACTTTGAGCTAATATAGACATGAGTTATCACTAACTTTCATAATTACTCATTAAAATTAGGCTATGTCTATATTTGTAATTTCTGTAACAACTTAGTTCTTCCTTTTCTGGTGTCTCAGCTCAGTTTGAGATAACAAAGTGGGCTTGTTTTTCTAGTTTAACGTGTGGTAGGAAAAATGTTTAAAAGCATTTGCTGTACAGATGAAATCAGAGCATAGAATGCTTAAAAATATTCAGAGGTAACTCTTTGATATATTAGATCTATGACTATAATTTTCCTAAAATATTCCATTGTAAGCTTAAATGTAGCTATAATAGGATGTTACATCAAAGGCACACCCTGCATGTATTTGATAGTGGAAGCTATCTGCAGCCTTTGGAAATACATTTTCTTCAGTCAGCCTTGTTTTCTAATAATGTTCTGTTGTGCGTTTTTTTTTTTTCTTGTGAATTTTTTAATATATTTTCTCTCCCTCATGACTTAAATTGAGCTGTATTTGTAAATAATTACTGTCCTTTTAACATCTAAATGTTATGTCATGGTATCAAAGTAAATAGACTTTTACATGTAGTAGAAGTAATGTGTGGAGCTTGCTGTTACAATTACTCCCTGAGATAAATACAGTATATAAGAATAAAAGGAATTCCAAATGGATGTGCACTGATCTGCTTAAGCATAACATCAAACTTTTCCAAAGGACAAAAATGGCTAAATCTATCAAGTTTCGTTTTTTTTTCCAGAACATAATCACTGTCTGGGATGGCAAAGAAATTTCTTTGAAGTCTAGATGTGTTAATTCATTTCTCACTTAATCCATAGCAGAATTTGCAAAGTACTTATTGGAGATAGTGTGACTGACTAGGCAGGGTGTTGCTGTGTTCTGGAAGAGTAATGATATTTCCCTTGACTTTCATATCTGCTCAGTTTTTGCAAATGGAGGAAAGCTAGGCTGTAGGTCTCAGCCAAGGAGAGTTGCATAGTGGTACTCGACACAGTCCCCCCCAACATCCTTCTCTCTAAATTGGAGAGATATGGATTTGATGGATGGACTATTTGATGGATGAGGAATTGGCTAGATGGTTGCATCCAGAGAGTAGTGGTAAATGGCTTGATGTCCAGATGGAGATCAGTCATGAGTGGTGTCCCTCAGGGGTCCGTATGAGGACCAGGACTGTTAAATATCTTCATCAATGCCATAGGCAGTGGGATCGAGTGCACCCTCAGCAAATTTGCAGACAACACCAAGCTGAGTGGTGCAGTTGACACGCCTGAGGGACGGGATGCCATCCAGAGGGACCTGGCCAAGCTTGAGAAGTGGGCCCGTGTGAACCACATGAGGTTCATCAAGGCCAAGTGTAGGGTCCTGCAGCTGGGTCGGGGAAACCCCCAGTATCAATACAGGCTGGGGGATGAAGGGATTGAGAGCAGCCCTGCCGAGAAGGACTTCGGGGTGCTGGTGGATGAAAAGCTGGACGTGACCTGGCAATGTGCTCTCGCAGCCCAGAAAGCCAACCGTATCCTGGGCTGCATCAAAAGAAGTGTGGCCAGCAGGTCGAGGGAGGTGATTCTGCCCCTCTGCTCTGGTGAGACCCCACCTGGAGTACTGCGTCCAGCTCTGGGGTCCTCAGCACAGGAAAGACATGGACCTGTTGGAGCGGGTCCAGAGGAGGGCCACAAAAACAATCAGAGGGATGAAACACTTCCCCTGTGAAGAAAGGCTGGGAGAGTTGGGGTTGTTCAGCCTGGAGAAGAGAAGGCTACAGGGAGACCTTATAGCAGCCTTCTAGTACCTGAAGGGGGCCTACAAGAAAGCTGGAGAGGGACTTTTTATGAGGACATGTAGTGGTAAGACAAGGAATAATGGCTTTAAACTGAGAGAGTGTAGATTTAGATTAGATACAAAGAATTATTTTTTTACTATGAGGGTGGTGAGGCACTGGAACAGGTTGCCCAGAGAAGCTGTGGATGCCCCATCCCTGGAAGTGTTCAAGGTCAGGCTGGACAGGGCTCTGAGCAACCTGATCTTCTTGAAGATGTCCTTGCTCATTGCAGGGGGGTTGGACTGGATGACCTTTAAAAGTCCCTTCCAACACAAACTATTCTATGATTCTATATGCTGTTTCATACAGTAGTGCTGTAGGGACTTACATGCATCTGTTAACAGGCTGAAGCCAACAAAGCTCAGTTTCAGTAGTATTTAACATACCAGTACTTCACCATACAGTGACAGCAGAATGTTTGCTTTGGGTTGTTGGCTGTATGATGTTTTGAGTGTCCCAGGTTCTGTCTTGGGGTTAGACTGGAAATGATGAGAGGCATTGGCCTTTGAGTATCACATAATAGTTCATGCGACTTGGGGTGTCATAAATAGCATAAATTCAGGGGGCTGAACTTTCATTCTCTACAGAGAAGAATCCCACTGAGGAGAATCATGAATTGGAACATGCAAAATCTTTTCTTAATTTGTGCTTTTTTTTTTTTTTGTCTAAGGGATTATCTGCAGTTTTTGACTGAATTTTTAGAACTTAGAGTTAAGATTTTCTTGATCTCACCAGTCAGGGCACAATAACCATTTTCTAGTTTTAGATTCTTTGTCCATGCATCAAAGCCAAAATGTATATCATGAATGTTTTCCTAAATTTTTTTCCAAAAATTCCTCAAACCTTGGACTTCTCTTGAACCATTGAATTAGATTCTAAAGAGAATACTTCTGGTTTTTACTGCTTCTGAAAGCTTTTTATTGTTGCTCAACAGATGCCACAGTTGGAGAAGAAGCTGCAAGAAGAACTTGAATGTAATGCCAGAATCATTGCTTGTCGTTTTCCTTTCCCTTGCTGGATCCCAGATTATACTACTGGAGAGGGAATAGACACTGTGTGGGCATATGATTTGAAACATTCTAGAGGATGTGAAACAAAAAGCTTGGAAATTACACCAGAGACAGAATCTTAAACATCTGATTTGGTTTTGTACTGAAATTTTTGGCTTTGACTTCACCTGTTAAGATTAATGTGAATAGAGCTGTGGTATATGGAGATACATATTCGCTAAAATAACTGAAGTACACTGGTTATCTGAAAGCACACAAAGGTTAGTGAAAGGTGTAGTTAAATGGCTTAATGTAGTTAGTAAAAATTATGAGAAAGCTTTATAGAAGCGGAAAACTTCAATATGGAAAATGGGATAAAACACAGTTCACTACTGTTAAGGGAAATATATGTCTAAGTTAAAATGCTCAAATGGGCGAACTTAATACGTGCATTCTTTCTGAGCCTACATAGCATTTGTTATTGGTGTTGGAAGGGATGTGCAAGTGGCTTCTCAAACGAGCCATGGTTCCTAAATGTCTTCATTATGTATGCCAAGTAGGCATAATGATGCATACATCAAACTGATGCATATTGAGTACGATGATGATACCAATGTTTTACACCTCAGCCTTGAATGTGTACTTTTTAAGGTTGAATGACAAGCAAATATAGCAAGTTGCTTATTCATTAACACAAGTGTAGCCCTTGATTATATTAATGTATTTTTATTTAACTTGTTATGTGAAGGCAAAACTGCAGAAATGTGCTCTTACTGAAGACTTATTGGTGTAAGCCTTTGCAAATGACCATGATTTTTCTTAACCTCTCTGATTTAGGAAGGATTTCAAAAGATATCTACTTCGCAGTGAAGTGTCACCACTTCTGTGTGCTCAAACCTTGGATAAGGTATGGGTGAGAGCTGCTTACTTGAATGTGTGGTGAAGACTGTCTCTGATTCCAGAGCTAGTTGGTCTGGCTAGCTTGGTTAAATCTGATTAGACCTCATTTAATTTATAGTGAGATGGGAGGGGATGTTTTCAGTCAGGCTTCTTTTCCCCTCTACTTTTCTATGCCATCTGATGAGATCTCAGAAACTCATGGCATTGCTGCATGGCTTTTCCCTGGAAGTGAAGCAAGTTCTCCTTGTCTTTTTGCTGATACTGGTTTGCAGTGGGATACTGTCACTGCTGTGACATTTTCCTTTTCTAACATGGTTACAGCACTTTTCTATTTTATAACAGTCGTCTTATTTGGTCTTTCTTTTGGTTCCCAGGTAAAGTTTTACTGTTTTCACCCATTAACAATTAGTCAAAGTTCATAGTTAGCCTCCCCTGACCCCAGTTAACATATAGACTGTTTGTTTAGCAGTGACTACACAAGTTTGTCAGACCTTTGCATATATGATACCCACAGAACGAAGCTAAAACAGGTTAGGGAATTGTCACCTGGCTTCTAGGCAGTCGTTACCACAACTAAAATTAGCTCAGGCCAAGAGAAGTGCTGAGACCCTGCAATTTCAGGTAAATACAAAGCCTGTGACATTTTATTAGGCATTGGGAAGGCACGTTTGCTGGACTATAGTATCTGACTTGGAGAAGTTAGATGTTATTTGGGATGTGTAGTTACACCTGTACCCAGGCTTTTTATTTTTGGTGTGAGGGGAGGAGGAAGGAGAGTTTAAAATACAAATTTGCACTGAGGATTTGCAATGGAGCAGTAGAATGGTTTTGTACTGATAATGTATACAAAGCGGGAGAAGAAAGGGGCAAATGTATCCGCTCTGGAGTCTGCAAAGGAGAGGTGATTTCAGTCTCATGTGGCAAGGCACAGCTGTAAACATGGAGACTGTATGTATTGAAGAACACTGATTTCTGGTAAGCAGTCTTTTACAGCCTTTCACTGCAGTGCAACATAATGCATCTTGTAAAACTACACTAAACTTTTTCTATCATGATTTAAGTGTTATGATTATTACACAGTGACAGGACAGGGCTACAGTGGCTTATCTAAAATGGCTGAATTTACTTTAATATCCCAAGGCCATAAAACTGGAACCTCAGACAAAGGAAAGCTGCAATTATTTCTATTGTAAAAAGACCATACAAAGGGGAAGTTAGCTAATTAAGAAGAGTCCTTCCTTGAATGATTATGAAGGAGAAAAGGAGGCAAAAGATGTTGATCAAGTGAATTGTGACTCATCTGCAGTGCAGTGCTTTGACCCAAGTTTCTACTGCCTGCTTTCACCAAAGTTACTTTGCAGGGCATGAAGTGGATATTTACTTTTTTCTGCTGTGTTTGGCTATATATTTGTCTATTGCATTATCGTTTGCCTGTTAAAAGGTAAAACTCAATTTCTCAATTCTGCCTGTGGTAAAGGCTTTGGGGCGTGTACTTCTTAGTTACCACCTATTTGCTCCAGAAATATTTGTTGAGGAGGGCGAGATAGTTAATGATGTGATGGCCTGAGCTTAGGAGCACTAAGTGCTGTCCTCAAGGCAAGGAGAGATTTATGAATGCTTTTAAAGTAAAGCAGAGGGCTGTTTCTTGCTCTGGCCATTTACTTTTGGGGGCCTACACTGAGATGGACAGTGGTCTGAAGGTTCAGAATTCGTTATTACGTAAGGAAATGTGCTGTGTTACCTGATTCCATGGCTGAAGCGTGAAACGGAAAGCAAATTGCTCTAGTTTACACAGGGGGACTGGGAAAGCATTTTCTTGTCATGTTGTCCTCAATTTTTCTATCACTTGCTATGTTCATTTGATAGTTTACAAGATTAAATACTTAACTGTGACTTCAGTTATCACTGTATGGATTATTATGTTGATACACTTCCAGTTGCTACGGTAATGTATTATGATTTCATTGATACGCTACTTCAGAGCACAAATGAAAACCAGGAAGGCCTTAGAGAACTGGCTTAATCAAATTATAGTGTAGGTCTGAAGCCAAAAGAAGGAAATGTTCAAGCTACACATGCTGTTCAATACCAAAGTAATTCAGACACACAGAAAACCCTATATTTTATCTTTGTTTACGTCTTCTAGTAGAATCACTTGCCTTTTGGGAGTTACTTGTTTTATTCCTTCCTTGCCCTGCCAGATCTTAGCGAAAAAAGTTGTTACATTGCTGAATGAGTAATGCTTTCCTGAAATATTGTAGAATTTGATCTGTTTGAAAATAATACGGGTCAGAGTTCTCCAGGAGTCAGACTTTCAAATTTTTTCTTTTTCTTCTTTCTTTTTTTTTTTTTTTTTTGCATTGAGACACATTATGTCCCCGCAGGCTTTGTGATGCAAGATCAGTTTTACCAATGCAGCATCTGAGTGCTACAATACTAATTTTGTAGTTTTCTATTTTGTATAAATTAGCTTTTTAGGGCGAAGGAGAGGGGTATGGCTGCAAGAGAGCCATCTGATACGCAGGTTGCTCCGTATACCGCACAGTCACTACAGCTACACAGCAATGTCAGCTAAGCTTGTCCGGGTTTGTTTGTGAAATGTGCACATATTTTGTGAGCTTTAGGCATTTCTGTATTACTGGGTATATTGAAGTTCTTGACTTATCCTCTGGTGTGATTATATGCTGCCACTTAATCTAATATTGCTCCAAGGAAGTTAATCCTCTGTCTCTGAGCTGCTGTTTATTTCTGACTCATGAGTTATAGCCAGGCAAGGAGATAGAGTCAAGTTTAAAATAACGTACTGCATTTCAGGAGCCAGTTAAATGAGTATGGTCTGTGGGGAAAAAAGTTCCAATGCCCAGGCTTTGGGAAAATGTTTCACATTTAATGAAGGACACAGCTCAGGAGGTGATAGAGATCTCCTGAAATCTGCATAAATTTTTAAGAAAGACTTGAGCTTTGCTTTTCTCTTGTGTGCTTTAAAGATTTTTACCGCTGTAATACCATTCTAAGGTCTGCAGGGGAAGTAAGCAAAGGTAGTGTTTTGTTTAGCTTTTATATTTTGAGTTATGGGAGGAAAGGAGGAAGGGAATCTTATGGCCTGAGTATGGCAGTTTGAACTATTTCAAAAGCAGTGTGACAGACTTACACATCAGCTGTGCGTATTTCTCATTGGATAGGAGCATCCATACTAAGAATGGGCTGTGATGAGCAGTCACTCAGAAATGGGTTCGTGTCTGATACCATTACACGTGAATGAACACTAATTATTGGTAGATCACCTCATACTTCTGTAGTTTCACTTTTTATGATTGTTCACAAATCCTGAAGCATTTATTCAAGAAAGGACATGAATCCTTCAAATTCATGATTGAAGAGGGCAGCCTAACATCAGATTTAATGCCAGTAAATTCTGCTTTGAGTGACTTATTTTTCTTTTGTATTTGCCAACTTTGTAGTTCTCTAGTTTTACAATGTAACCCCAGCTTGTTTTTCAGAAGTAACACGTTTCTTCTAGAGGACTTCTTGAGTTCTTAATAAGACAGCGTGGCATCTATGTTTAACTTAAAAGTCACCCTTGAGTGAGATGGCTGCAGAATTAGTATTTTCAGTGTTTTTCTTTGTGTGATAGTCTTTCTATTCATCCTTGTATGCTTTACTGAGGGAGACTTATACATGGATAATTACCATTTTTTTTCTTCATTCTTTTGCTGAATTCTTCCTCTTATTTCAGTATTTGCTTTTATTTTTCGTACTGTCTTTTTACAATTCGACTGTTTGACTTCATAAATTAATCAGATCTTCTCATTTCCTTTAATTTTTTTTTCTGCAAACTAGTTGCGTTGTTTTTTTTTTTTCCTAGCAACTTTGCAGGAAGACTAAGTATGTTAAGGAATGTCCTTTTTCTCTCTAACATTTTAACATGTATTTAACTAACCTCCTTGATTTATTTAGCAGTCTGTACGCTGACATAGCATGACTTTTGTTTCCAGTAAATTAAAGAAAAACACATCCACCCATATGGGATTTAGACTGAACAATAGCCTCAGTCTACAACAATTCTAACTATTTAGTAGTTTTAAGTACTTAATTTCACAATTTTATTATATTTCATCACTTGGCAAATGAATACAGGCCTTTTATCCGTTCAGTAGTTCTTTGGATTTGGGTTATTTGTTCAGGTGGGACTTTTGCTGATTTCTTTTTCGTAGTATAATATTGTGGTTTCTATTAGAGGCTTTGGTTGAAATGTCAGACTGATGTTTTTCCTGCCAATTGCTG